TTGAACGCGTCTAAGGAATGATAAAACGGAATTTCTCATTTCCGTTCTCGCCTAGATACAGTTCGTGACTGTTGGTATGAAAACTGTACACGTGACGCAATTTCGACGTAATCGGAGAGTGCGATGATTCGTTTAGAGAAATTTACAAGTCAACGCGCGCGATTCTCCGGTTTAATTAAGAAGGTCCTTGGCGGTTTCTCTTGAAGAAATAAGAGACGCGCGACGCGGTTCGTTCCGCAGTGCAATTTCTGCGAGCCCCGTAACGGTACCCGAGAAAATTCGTCGGAATCGCGAAATTCGATCTTCCCATCGCCACCACTGTATCGGCCTGATTTACGGGGCCGCCGCAAAATCCCTTCTGCTTCGTTCATTTTCACGTAACTCAGCTCGTTCAATTTACTGCTCGATTTTCGACACGAATAACAACCGCGGGTAAAGTAAGGCGGCAGCAAGAATCACCGATGACGTTCCTCCTCGATTTATTTACGCGCGTGTTGTGTTTACAAATTACGAATGTAAGAACGTTTACCCTACTTTTCGTTTCGCGGAGCGAATCTCCCGTTGTTTCCGACACTGGCACAACACACGCGCGCGCTAGGTATTATTTTTATTTTAATGTGTTCTGTCAGTAAACACAACCTGTTCATCAGTGTTCACAGTTTTGATACATTTACACAGCAAGCAGCAGCGGTGGAGGATATGCGCACAAGCATCAGCAAGCACTTACTCGATGCTTTGTGCGCATTCCCTTCACCGCTGCTGCATGCTGCGTAAATGTATCAAAACTGCGAACACTGCCTGTCATCGCGATGACAGCTAATATATACGTCTTACAAACCATATACATTAGATAGATATCAGAAATAACGCATGAAAATCAAAATCAAAAAATAGTGAGAGGGAAGAGTGGAAAAACAACACGTGATTAAAGTCACGTGACTTTACTTTAGTCACATGACTGGGAGAAGTGGAAAAATAAAACGTGAATAAAGTCACGTGACTGTACTTTAGTCGTGTGTCTTTAAAAACGTGATTAAAGTAAAGTCAGGTGTTGTTCTTCCTCTTCTCCCTGTCACGTGATTTTATTTTAGTTACGTTTTAAAAGCTCGCGCAACGAAGTCGCGCTAGAACGGCGCGAGGCAGTACCGCGCCTCTTGATTCGCACGACACGAATCGAGAAACACATCCGAGAAACGTCTAATCAGCGTAGAGATAAAAGCGGCAATAATCAAGATCGATAGAATCGATTGGGATTATTTACACACGCTTTTTCTGGTAGGACTCTGCAAAGTGTCGCAAAAGAAAAAAGAAGATTCACGTTTGGGCTCTTGGCGCGATTAAAAACACGCGCGATCCGTTGAATATTTTTAGCTGAAAAATTATCGGTGTTGTAAATCACTTTAAATTTCGCGATAAAACCCACGGCAACGCGTTCGCCACACCGCGCTTATTTCGCTCAAGCGTAACGTAATTTTCCTCACTTTGCTATGTTTCCCTCCGTTGCGAGGCATTTTCTTTTAGCAAAATTAGCATAGAGAAACAGAGAGAGAGAGAGAGAAAGAGAGAGAACGATGAGAAAAAAAAAGCGATCAAACGATTGCGGCGATCGCAAACAGCGTCGTCGGGCGAACTGTTTATGTCGCAACGGCGCTCTCGGGAAAACGGCGGATTCGCTCGGTTTCGTTTTATCGTCGCGTATCGGAATAATTCGATATAGTATCCGCAAAACGGATAAGAGTTCTCGCTAAGTAGATCGTAGATTTTTTTCTATCTCTCGACGGCGGCGCAAGGCCGCTGCGAGACGTCCGCGTTATTTATTTATGCTCTTACGAAACGTCGCGGAGTGTGAATGAACGACGAAAGATATTTCTCTTCACGTGGCTCGTTACACATTACGGCTGCGAGTTCCCGGATATCTCTACGAGATAATTTCTGCCTCTGCGGAACACGCACACACGCACACAACACGTTCGCGTATATGACGAAGACTCGATCTGCAAATTAAATCGCACGAAAAGCTCCCGAATTTCTCAGAAAAGATCTCGAAGTAGCTTGCAGCTCGAGGTGCTCTTTCATCTTCACACACCTAGAGTCTAGTAAAAAATTACAATTGACGCTTCGTTAGCGACGCAACGAAAGCGAGCGCTCGAATTTATCAAAAGCGCGAGAATTCTCTCCCGCAGATTTCTCAGTCTTACCACAATGCGCGATCTCTTTCCGATGACACCGTTTGATAATGGAATGCACAAGAGACGGAGTGATATACCTATATGCCGTTCCCGAGATAACAACGAGCTATTTACGGAGTATATATTTTGCGCACCACTGAGTCAGCTGTTAAATATTTTTAAATAACTCTTCTATTATATAATTAATAATTTTTAAATACCTCTTTTCGTTTGTTTCGAATCGTCAACCGAGCAAACAAGTTCTCACTGAGACTGAGACAATTTTACTTGCGAATAAAAAATTAACGCCGAGTAACATTCGCGTCACAAATTGCGCGTAAGATAAAAACCGTTTATCCGATCTGGGACAGTATGTACACGCGCGCATTCCTCGCGCCTACTCATTGCCACGGCGTAATATAATTCTCAGAAGCGTTAGATTCGCCCAGTTAAGTTTCGCCGATATTACACACGTACGTATATATGAATACATCAAGATAACGTTTGCGGGATGATGAAGAAGAAGAAGAAGAAGAAGAAAACACGAGCGAAGACTCGGCCATCTGCGCGACGACGCCCAGAATCTTCTCTCTGTGAGAAGATTTAGTATGCACGCGACCGAGTGCACTTACTCTCCGATAACCGTGTGTTCAGCTTTGCATTCTTCACAATTAGCTCGAGGGAGGGAAGAAGATGATGCGTCGATCGGAGTAGCGTAGCCGGCGATTCGCTTCGCGGTTGCGAATTAGATAAAGTTCTGTCGCTTACATTTACGTCCCTTTTGATTTGCGGATCGTAAATTATTTCACCATGAGATTTCTCCTTCTCCTTTTGCTCTTTAACATCGACGATGATTTATGATTTTCAGAGAGATCGCACAAACTGTTTTGAACTTTCGAAACAATCTCGCGAGAAATGTATTTCGGAAAATTTGATAATAAACAACAAAACTGTCATTGAAGACAAAACACCATATTTGAAAATAATAACAATACTGGCGTAATATCAAGAACATGACAACATGTAACACACACGGGTCGGACGACGATTACTAATAATGTTTTCGTTCGAGAGTACGCGTTCTTTCTTTCCCGCGTAAATATCATCGTTACATGCAAACAAAAAAAAACGTGTTCGTACTGATACACTATCGAGAAGCAGATATACTATGGCAGCGCGTAACGCCGTTTCAACTCGCATGCATAATCATTACGCGCGTACATGCTGCTCGCCCCCCCCTCCTTCTCCCTTTAAAAGTCGCAGCCACCCTTCTGGCCATGGAGTGCACTCTGTAATTTTGCTCTTTGTAATTACTATTATACCATCGCTCGTAAAAGTTTCGTGCTTTCAACCGTTCTGCGCCTAGATGCCCTCTTCAAGTGTAAACGTTTTGTGTGTGTGCGCGCGCGCACGCACGTTGTGCGTGTGCCAACGTACACAGTTCGTAAGCGAGTTCTCTCTGGTAAACCGGGACGATTAATATTCTGCAAATTTCGAGTCTAAACGGAAAAAAATGATTTTGTTTGTAGCGCAGTTTAGTTTTATTAGACTTGCCACGGTGTATTTAGTTTTTTACTACGGTTTGGTGTTTTTTTAATTATAGTTAATATTGCAAGTAATTTAAATGAAAACGGCAATATTTTTTGCCGTAACTAAATTAAATCAATTATCTCGAGCACACGATAAATATCAGATTGTTTGGAAAGTACCTACGTAACGTTTTTTAATGACGTTTTAAAGCTTGTCGTGCCGACTCGCACAATTCAGGTTTTTTTTTCTGAGCGAACGCTCGTACCCTAGTGTTTGTTCGTCGATGGTTTTGGTTATCCGCGCCATGTGTGTCGTTGCCGAACTTTACGGGACCAATACCTATTGGAGAAAAACAAACTTTCCAAAAAAAAAAACTCGACATAAGTTTTGTATTTTTTTCCCATTGTAAACTATTTTTAAAAGAAAGAAGTGATATTCTCGACCGACCATAAATCATTTCACAAAAGCGAGTAAGTAAAGCGACCTAGTATTTTACTCTTTTGCGACCTTATTAAGTGAAACCTCAGAATCCCATACTATAGATAGAACACACTGAAATCTCTCGATCGCCTCATAAATCACAACGCGATCCTTAAACGCACATCCGCGCGATGTGTAATTATTACTTGCGTAATTATACCGGGCCGAAAACAAAAATCGTTTAGAGAGATACGGTGAACGCGCGCGAGAGAGAGAGATCCCGCGCGGAAGCGGATAATTAACATTCGTTACTCGCGCGGTTAAACCGGTACGTCCGGTCGATTATTTGAGAATCGTTCTCGACGACCTCGCGCGATCGCTCTAAGTACACCTGAAGTACTTCGGTGATTTATCTCGCGAATGGCTTTTGCCATTTAGCATCCTGGCATCGAATGCGCGCGCATTTTCGCGAACGCGCACACCTCGGTTAATTATCGGCGACGTATGGGGAGGGATGTACAGAATGATTCATGTTAAATACGCGCGTAATTCCCCCGTAATACTTGATGATTTCTTTGCGGTTTTATTTAATTTGAGATAATCCATCGCGATAAGAAATAATTCGCGCATAGATAAACTCGGCGCAAAAATACGCGCGTTGTTTTTTCTTATCGTTATTTATCGTACATCTTCAGATCACCGCAACAGCGATTCACTTTGATGTCATTTTTCTGAGACAGAGTTCGCTAATTTACACGCGCTGCCCGACGTAATCGCGCTAGTAAAACACATAGCTTTATTCATCGCGCGATTACATTCGTCAAACAGTTCGGACGGAAGAGAGAAACAAACCGGAAAAACTTGTTTTTTTTGTTTGCCCACCTGAATGAACCCCGCCGTCAATATCAGCATCTTCGAAAACAGACGCTTCGACACCCTCGTCGTCCGCTGTGGCGGAATCCTCGGCGTTTTCCATGTCTTTAAATCTCGCACGAACGTCTGTTTTTTCTATTGCGCAAGGACTGTCCACGGCCGCCTGCCTGCCGATTCGCACCAGGGTGCTATTGCTCCTCGCCAGCTTTGTGCTGTGAGTTCTACGAATCAGCAAATTTGTCAGGGTTGTATTCTGTTTGGTTCTTGTCTCTTGTTGACTGATCCTGTGCTCGCTCGACGACCCGCTCGACTTCGGTGCCGACTCGATAACGATTTTCGTAACCGCAGGTCTCTCTTCGACATTCTTTTCTTTCTTCTTACATCCGGCGTCGTCTTCCACGTCGAAACAGGCGATGGTATTGTTTAGACGACTGTCCTTTCGATTGCCGGACTCTTTCTTGCCGGTAAACCTGCTCTGAAATCGCTCGATGGTCTTGAAGGACCTCGTGCGCTCGACTTTCTTTCTCTGTTCCGTCTGGCCGCTCGCGGTCGTTCGCTCGCACTTGGACGCCTCGAAGATCCTCGTCAACGACTGCACCTTGCCCCTCACCTCCGGAAACGCCTCGTCGGTGGATTTCCTCGCGCACGACGACAGACTCTCGCTGTTGCTCAGAGTGCGCGTCAGCGAGCTCGACGACGTCGATGTCGCGGACGTCGGCTTCGACGTGCTGCCGATTGGGAAGGTGTTGCAGGCGAATTTCTCGCCACCGGTGCCATCGGTCGAGTGACCCTTCGTCAATTTGCCGACCGACTGTCGGCTCTGCTCGCCGCCCTCTTGCAGCGACACGTAGAACGTGGACCGCCTCTTCGGCGACTCCTCGGGATTCTCAGTGGTCAGCATGTCTCTTCACATTTCCCTTTTTGTTTTTCGAATTTACACACAGATTCCGGAGAGCGCGGGAGGGGGGATGTCGTTATCGCTACGCAATTTATCTCACGGAAGTCGCACGCTCGACAACTTATCAGAAGTTCGACTATCGCGAGTTGACATTTTCCAACATGACGAAATGCTTTCTCCTTCGAAAACTTTGTGTTTTTATTTTCCAAATATTTGTGTGTTTTTTTTACGTAGCGAGGATTTGTTACACTGTTGTGTGGTAATATTCACAGATACATGCGATCGTGCGTCACACACGAGTCGTCGATTTTCTCTCGATCGAAGGGGAAAATGTGCGATTCGCGTATTTTTGCGTATCGAATGTCTCCGCGGCGATGTCAGAGGTGCATCTCTTCGTGCGAGAAGGAGATGCGTCCGGAACACGCCCCCGCCCCCGGTGCCGCGGATCAACCCGCGGGAATCGGGTGCGTACGATCTTCAGGGCCGCGGTAATAACAATGATTACATTCCCTCCGCTCTCCTCCACCCTCGATCGACTCGGTTTTTCTCTCGCTACGACCTCTTCGAGAAATCACCGCGCCGACTCGTCTCCTCCGCGGAGAGTAGTATCTCTTTCTCCTTCTCCGGTCTACTAAATATAGACGGACTATCGAGCCGGTCAGACAGAATGACGAAGAGAGAAAGAGAGAACACGTGTGTGTGTGTGTGTGTGTGCGTGTGTCGTTACAAGACGTCGCAACAAGACGAATATCAGCTGGTGTTATCCCCGCGCGGCGATACTCGCGGATAACGCGAGGCGTTGAACCGTGACGACGCGCGACTCTCTCTCACTCCCGACCGCGTATCCTCTTCGTGTGTTCCGGCCTCTTCCGCGAAGAATTCTCTTGTATCTGCGTTTTATTTCAGTTTGCTTTACGTCCTCCTAATGCGCACGCGTGTGGAGAGTCGTCTCTCCCGCGGAAGACTCTTCTTTTATTTAAAATAACGTGCACTGTTACATAAATGTATTCGTCGGTCCTCGTTTATTTATTTATTTATTTACACTTTTGCAATTTCACGAGTGTAATGGAGAAACTTTATTTCTGTTCTCCGTTCTTCTTGGCTTTCGAGTTTCGAAGGACTTCGCAACAAAAACTATCTTCTTCGTGAGTCTTCTGCTTCGAAAGAAACGCGGGAGCGCGGTCACGCGGGGAGGATGCGGAGATGAGCCGGCGTATAGAAGAAATCGACGGCGGACGAGCACAGATGCAGCTGGAGATTGCAGGTGGAACCGGCCGAAGAATCCGCGACGATCGCGGAGAATTGCGGCCGTTGGTGCGCACGCCGTTGGAATTGTTGGCAAAGCCGGTCGAGATTTACGATCGCGGCGCGAGGAGTTTACTCCGGAGTCGGTCGAATGGGACTCGCGCGACGATTTATGGGAGCGGGATTGTAATTCACGGCAAAAAAAAAATCAAAGTGAGCGCGCGCGCGCGTTACGATCCGACGCAGATTAAGGAACGAGAGGTGAGATGACGCCGAAATACTTAGCGGCGGGCGCGCACCTGTCGCTGATCTTGTGTTCGCATACGAAAGGTTTCTCAACCGGTCTTTCTGTTCTTCGCACTGTTGTTTTCGGATTCGCACGATAGATTCGATCGACAGATCCCAGAGGAATCGACTCGAGCTCGCAAATTCCAACACGTAGTCTCTATCTCGAGCGAGAAGAAGATCGAACGAGTTTGTTTTTGTGCGCGCTCGTTCTTGCTCCGAAACAAACACCACAAACTTTTTCTTCTCCCCTCAACGAGAAACACGAGATTTGACACTTTTCTCGCGGCACTCTTCTCCGGGAACTCGCACTTAAAATTTCGATATTATCCGGAACGCCACATCTCACAAGTTTAAAACGCGGAGTTCCGACGCGGCGAGTTACCCGAGCGACACTCGCGCGAGCGACCGCGCCGCGTCGAGAAAAGTAAGAGGTGTTTCTCCGAGTCACGGCTCTCACGATCGCTCCTCTCACGATCGTACGTGCTTTGCGCGCGCGCGTGACCACAGAGAGAGAAAAAGAGAGAGAAAGAGAGAGAGAGAGAGAGAGAGATTGTTCTCTTCTTTCCGATTGGTTGACGCGTTTGTCTCAATCGCGCGGAAGGAAGCACGTTTCTTCTCCGAGTCGGCCGAGGACACGCGTGTTGTCTTTCCTCGTGCGCGTCGAACGAAAAACACCGAGCAAATCGTCGACGTTACGCGCGATCGGTCCGCACCGTGAACGGACTCGCTACTATCTGGCTCGACGAGCCGGACTTAATCCGAGCGCGCTGCGAGCGCCTCTATCGGTAGAGGTCTCTTTCTCTCCTTCTCGTGGTGGTAAAAGAAAGACGTACAGAGAGAGAGAGAGCAAAGGAAAGAGAGAGAGAGAGAGAGAGAGAGAGAGAGAGAAAGAGAGAGAAAGAGAGAGAGAGACGAACGAGCTGTGGATCGACGACGACTCTACGCTACGCTCGACCAGACTTCCAGACTTCGGAAAATGCTGGATCGTGATCGCGATCCGCAGGATGTACAAACACGTACGTCCGGGATGAAACAAGAAATAAATAAAAATAATTTCCCACTACAAGACCGATAAGTCTAGAAAGTTACAAAGTTTATTTTTCTTATTGTTGTTTTTAATAAAAATCATTTTTTTTTTACGCTTTCCCACAAATCTTGCGCAATTTCAAATTGTACAGAGAAATTCGTAAAAAATTCTCGCTTAGAAAAGGTTGGAGTTGAAACTCGAGTCTCGGACGATGTGATAAAAAACCAAGTATCGCTTCTGGCAAGTATCAGTTTCGGTGACGTCCGGCGACTGCTGCCGAGAGTGTTCAAACTTCGGAGCAAGTTAAATTGAAAATGACACTGCGCCGAAGCTGACGAGCGCTTTACATCATCGTGGGAAATTTCATCGTGTTCCCATTTGCTCCCACTTTTGTACTTTTTTCTTCGCATCTCCTCCAATTGCGTTTTGCAAAAAAACACACACATTATGTGTCGCGGTAATGCGAAAACGTTTTCTATTTATTGTAAAATACACGACCCGCACCTGTGCGGTCATTAAAAACATAATGACGAACCCGAGAGGGGTGTTACGTAAACCCCGACGAGCTAATTTGTTGTGGGCGTGCGATGTAAAACGTTTCTACCATTTGGAGTGGAAATTTCGATTACGGTCTCGAGAGATTTAACGTTGCATGCATCAAGAAACCGTGTAAACTTCCGCGATATTGAGCGCATAATACCGTAACACATTCGATTACGTAAATATCAAAAGATATGCACTTCGAAAAATAACGCGCGCAGAGGATACAAGCAATCTTTTTATAATCACACGAGGATTTTTTTTTTTTTTTTCTATCTGCGTCTTAATAAACTTCACGTTACATGTTATTTGCAATTTCAATAGTTTTTTTTTCTTATACGCTGCGTGTGAACATTCGTCAGCGAAAAAAAAACGCAATGTTCTCAGGTGAAGAGAGACATATAGCCGAGAAAATGTCTGTGACTCAACCGGATCACGTTTAGTAACCGTTCTTTCACCTTCCTGCTGCGCCGCTCCGTTTCGAAACTGACGTAAAACCAATAGTTTACGATCACAATTTTCATGCAACAAAAACCTCGAAGTCGCGCCACGACCGGAAGAAGAAGAAGAAAGAAATGCCAGAGCGACGACTGTGGCTTGTTCAGTCCGCCACTTCTTCTCTTATCTTATTTTATTCTGATTCAACTTGCAAAAGTGTGTGACAAAACCGTTAACATGAGTAAAAGATTGATGAATTCGTAAAAAAATTGCATTCGAGCAAAGAAGCAGCGAAAGAGTCGAGCTATTCAATAAATAATGTCGGCTCAGCGCGAAACGTCTCAGAACGACGCTTTCGTATCTCGGAAAAAGTCCGCACCAAAGACGGCTTAAGGCGATTTGCGCGACGAGACCATTTCCGTTGACAAAAAGCTCTTTTGAATTTCGGATGTCCTCGGTCCTCGACCGAAGTTTCATCAACACTAAAATGCGCCATGTTGTTTCGTCAATGCGCAAAGTGACGCAAAAACTTATATGCAGATAAAAAAAAAAAAAAAAAGAAAAAACATTTATTTATCCGAGATTCTATCAAATTTGATTTGAACTGGTTTTATTTGCAAAACTACGGCGCATGAAATTTTCACGATCTCACTTATCGCGTTTTCACTCGAAACTGTTACCTGAAGAAAAAATAAACCAATCCCATCGTGTTCACGAGCGTATCAACGGATAATAAAAAATTAATTAATATATTTACTTTCGCGTAAGGATTTTCCTTTTTTATATGCATTTTCTGCCGCGATTAATTTACGCCGGCTCGATGAAAATGTGTGCGCGCACGCAATAAACGCGTACTCGAAGGCTTTTCTCCTATGAAAATTTCACTTCTCGCATCATTTATCAGCTACTTAAAATTCTTCTGATTTTTTAAATCATTTTATTGAATTATCAGAAATTGACTCGATCAGTACGCACACAGGCAATTGTAGCACGCGTGTGGTCTAAATTATTTATTATTTTCTATTGTATCAAGTGTCGATATAAAAAGAAACTCGAATGTTGCGTATATGTATATTCATTTGTTGTTTTGAAACAACATTCCGAAACGACTCCTTTCACTCTCGCGGCTCAACTCGAGCCAGTTTGGATTTTTGCAACGAATTAGATTTATCGATGTTTCGTGTAATTGTGTTGATTAGAATATGTTCGCATGCATAATCAATGACGCGTTATCCGTTCATAATCAATTTAGAGCGAACTTGAGCGTGAGTTATCATATAAGAGAGTTTCTCTGTGACATTTACACCAATCGCGCACGTTCCGCGAAATCTCGTACCCTAGAATTAATTGAAAATTAAAAAAAATAAAAAAAAAAAAAAATAAAAAAAAGTAGCGTCGAAATAAAAACGTTCACGTTTCAAGGAACTCTAAAGGTCGAACACGTTCGTTTCCCGCGTTGCGTTTTTAACTTTCTACGATTTCGCCGCGACTTTGTCGCCGCAAAAGTTTCCGTTCAATTTATTTTTTACGGAAGTCACTCACTTCGCGCAAACTTCGTCTCTGCATCTCGCGAGAATCGGTCATTGCGCGTTTGCGACATCGCCTGCAATAATAATAATAACACGCAAGATCCCCGACGCGATGGCGTCTCACTCGAGATCGGCGCCGTCTAAAATGAATAATGGGCCCGAAACACATCAAGCGCGCACGGATTGTCTAATTGCGAGAACAGAGCGAGAACTGTGGATTCTCTCGCGCGCCGTTATTCTCCGCCTGCATAGAAGTTTCATTTTGCGTGATGCGAACACGTTCTCTCGGATTTGTTGTGGAGAAGAGCAGAAAGGTTGCGGCGTGATTATTCAGAAAATTCTATTATTATATCGAGAAGTTCGGCGTGTGTGGTCTAAGGAAACGACGGCGCCGAGTTTCTCGTCGATCGGAACTCGACGACGAGAATGCCGATTGTTTCGCAGAAACGACGCACGCGTGACAGAATGTATCGATTTTGGATGAGAGTTATCTTGTATTTTACAACTTACGGGAAGAATTTCAAAAGAAACGAGGTGGGAAAAAAATATATCGAACGATCTTGCTGTTCTTTGTTGGACGCAGACGGCAAGATTAGCATTTCTTCTGTAATGCGCGAGAAAAATGCACTTACGAGCACGTTTTCGACTTTCCACGCCAACCATTCAACTCGCGATCGTCTGAGCACGTGCCTTTGAAGTCGATGTCGTCCGCAACGAAGACGAGAAAAATAGATTGTGGATATTAATGCATAAAATTAATTGGAATTTCTATTATTGATTAAAATAATATATAAATTTTATTCCTCGACGAATCAAAATTTATTTTGGTATGCGCGGAAGTCACGCTGATTGTATCGCCGATTTAAAAGGCACACACCTGTACGGAATAAGCGTAATGATTATAGTCGCTGTACGTACAAAGACGGAGGCTTTCGACTGACCGCGCGTACTTTCCATTACGCATCCTATTACCGGCGGCAATTAACGCGGCGCTATCTCAATTCCGGTTCCTTGCCTGTACACGGAGGAATAAGTGCCGGATTTATGGTGGGATTAAAGTACCGGGGCAAAGAGTAGAGAGAGGAAGAAAGATTAAAAGCGCGCGCGAGGGATGAGCGTTGAAGGAGGGGGGGAGGGGGCGGCAAGAATTACATGCGAGAAGACGAACGACGAGTGTCAGGGGAAGAGAGTGCGTGTAGGCGAGGTCTCGACACGCGCGTCTTCGTCTTTTGCCTCGTCTTTGTTTTTTGTTTTCGCTCCGTTCACACAGTCGTCTCTCTTTTCCCCGTCCCCGTCTCGTCACTCTTTCGACCGTCGTCATCTGAGAAAACGACAGTGACAAAAATCGGCCGACGAAAGGGCCGCGGTGATGATAAGCGGCAAGAAAAGAGTCGATTTGTTCAGATCAAGTTACTTGTGTTAATTGTTCGAATCATAAATCAACGTGGAGCGCGATGTTTTCTCGTCCTCAAGATTTAATAGCTCTTTTTATTACACTCTAATTGAAGGTTCTGCAAGGACATTTAGATATACGCCATTGAAATAAATTTTATATCGCAGAGAACTAAAAAATGAATCATGTCCATGGGAAGTCAACAAAAACTGTGCGTGGTGTTTTTTTCAATTTAAAGCGCGTGCGTAAGAACTCTGTTAAGATAAAAACTTAAAAAAATCAAGACATAGGACTTTGAAAGCCATACGCAAGATATATTTTTAGATAGATTAGACCTTCCAGCCTTTTGACTGCAGTTGGAGGCAGTTAAACAAATAACGTAATTAATTGTAAAATAATATATTTTTAACGTGTAAATTAATAGAAAATTTTCGAACTGGAAAGACAACTGCAAGGGAGATTCGAGTTCGATCTTTTTTCGCAATTTTTTAAATATCATTAGAGAGTTAAATTACTTCATACGCACACAAAGTAGCACTTTATATGAATTTTAAAATTGTTATTCAATTCGAATTTCTATTAATTTACACGTTAAGAAAATATTTTGCACGTACATCCACCGTATGAGCTCTTTTATTTCTTAAAAAAACACACACTGGACATAATGCAGCTATTGCATCCGTTTTCTGCAGCGAGCGAAAGGTACTCGCGACTTCTCTCTCTCCCTCTCTCTTTCGTCGCGTGTGCGAAGTCGCTTTTATGCTTGTTCTGCCGTTCAAGCGGAACGAAACCGCATAGATGCTGTCTGTCGCGCTGTTTGAACAAGCGAATGCCACGGCGCGCCGATATTATCTCGTGATATTTAATCGTGTGCTTAACTGGTCGCGGCGCCGAATTTATTATTCGCCGCTGCGAAGAACCTGTGTCGAACACAGGTTCTCTTGCGGCGTCCGCAAATTCGTAAATAAAAACACATCGCGCGAATACAGATCGTGTAAATATTTATCGGATTAAAATGTCACAGTACTCGCCGCCAACACCCAGAGAAACAGAACAAAGCGTGACCGTCTTACAAACTATTATACAATAATATACGTATGAGAGGTGACGCCTGAAAATTAAACTCAAAAACTAGAGAGAGGAAGGAGTGGAAAAACAACACGTGACTAAAATCACGTAACTTTAGTTTAGTCACGAGTCTTTAATAACGCGACTTTACTTTAGTCACGTTTTTAAAGACACGCGACAGGGAGAAGAAAAACAACATGTGACTAAAGTCACGTGACTTTACTTTAATCACGTGTCTTTAAAAATCAGATGAAGTTATATCGATACTGTCGGAGGTGTTGCCGACGCAAAGCGCTACCGTTTATCGTGCCTCTTGATGATTCTCTCTTTCCCTCTCTAACTCACACTTCCCGTCTTTCTTTTTTCTTCTTTTAACGCGCTCGTATATGTATGCCATGTTAGCAAGCATACAAACATGCACACATTTTGGTCGCACGACGACGATAATAATGACGTTTCTGAAAACGTGAATTTCTCACTTCAAAACTTTATCGTCGCTTATCTCCAAATCAGAAGCACAAACAAAAAAACGCAACAAAACTTTTTTTTTTTAATGTCTTATTCTTAAGCGATTGAGACTAAAACGAAATTGATCGGTTCAGTCGTTCTTGAGATATTGCCCCATTTTCTCACTTTTCAATCGCATGAATTTTGCGTATAAAAGGCACTACCGTGCCCCTTGATAAGTTTAATGCGAAGCGAGATCGTTTACGCCTTTGCACGTGAAGTTGCACCGATACACAGCGTTTCGATATTAATGAAAGATGCAACTTCACGTGTAAAGGTCGTGTGTCGACGCTGTCTCTGCCTGTACGTCGAACAAATTGACAGACGAATCGCACTTTTGAACTTTGACGGTTCGGGTCAGCTTCGGACAGTCACGAAGTGTCAAAATTCCAGTTTGCAATGCGCACAAAGATTTGACGTGATAAAAGTAAATTAATTATTTTTAAAGGGCTCTCCAAGATTTAACGAAAAACGCGGAGAAGCGGAAACGGCGTATTTATATAAGAAAGAAAGTTTCGGGTAAAGAACAGACCAATATCTATAACACCCGTGTGCGTTGAAGTGTGCGACTTCAAAAACTCTTCCAGTTCGAAAATCTTATTCAGCAAAATAAAGTCGTAACGCAAAGTCAATTCTTGATCTCCGCGTCGAATTTTTTCTCTCTGTGCAAATCCTCGTGTACACAATGTGGATCCGAGGTGGACAGGTCGCGCGAGAGAGTCACGGATCGTTAAAAAATGATGTACGCGCATTCTTCTTTAGATACTAATGGGGATTTTTTTTATGTCGCGCGCATCACATCATAAATGATCCATTAGCGTTTCGGGCAACAATAACAGTAGCCGGCATCAAAAATCGCGCATCACGGGTCCCACCCCTCGTTACGAATGATTATTCATTACCGGGTTCCAAAGTGGAATGCATTAGGGGCGGGCGCGCGAAATCGTGCGGAAGAGTTTTCATGCGAGAACGGGGGCAGCAGCAGCAGCAGCAGCTGTGTGGCGTCGCAGCAATGCTCGGTAACCTACCGTCTTTCTTGCCTTAGGGGAGTGGCCGGAGATTTGCATACGCTTGTGCCGGTCATTGCGTACATACATACGTACGCACGCTTGTTTCGAATTTGAATCGACGAGCGCAATGACAGACGGACCAGTTTAAGTCGACCAGCGCGTCGACGAAAAATTCGTCGTCGACGCGAATGAGAATCGCATTCGTGATCACGTACCGCGAAGCAACTTTTGCGTTCGGCATTGTCGGCGCATTATTCCGACCTTACACCTCCGTGTGCCCAATTACCATAATCGTTGTGCGTGCCACTTTCGGTCGCTCACTTCAGTAACTAAATGTGTAATGCAACGCGACGTAAATCCTTTTTAAATGAATTTCAGGAGTAAATTTTGTTTCTTTAATATTGTTCTTTTTTTTTTAGATATTTGATTTTTTCGCACGCGTAATGAATTTATACGTATTGCAGAGGCAAGATCGCGGAAGCTGATGTGGCATGACTGGCAAATTTGACGAACGACGGAAAGCGTCGCGAACTCGTGTAAGAAAATTTCTAGTAATTTGTTATTTCACACGCATTTAAATTCACTCCGACTGCGAACTCGAGATGATGTTTCCGCTTAAAAAAAATATCGTCGAGAGACGATTGAGAGGTAATATAATAACACGATGATCTGAGAGAAGATCTTAACATTAAGCAGACTCGCCTCGTTCGCACGTGGCGCTCGTAAAGAGTCTCGAGAGAGTTAACGAAAATTAGGACGCGGCGCTGCTGAATGGCGCGATTCATTCGGAAACGACGTTTTCGTGGATTGACGCGGTTTCTTTTCGGGTTTCTCACCGGGACACAAAACGGGACACAAAAAAAAAAAAAAAAGGAAAAAGAAACCAGACGGCGTCTTCGTATTTGCGCTCGCAGACTAAACGTTGAGGGAAAGAAATTCCGCAGACGGTCTCCGCGTTAATTCGCGGTGACGTGCGTAGAGCCGTAAATATGAGTCATCATTACTGTGAGAAGGGGAAAGATCCTCTTCACTTCCATTTGCCTCTCGAGCGCTTTCATCTGACGCGTTTTTCGCGCCCCACGTACATTTTCTTCCTTCGGGCAGCTGCGCGATTGTCTTCTCTTTTTTTTTTGTTTTTTTTTTTTGTTTTTAACACGTTCTGTTCTCTCTCGCTTTCTTATCTCGCGGTCTTCTTCACCCTTTAACGCGAATCAGTGACGAGTAACTACCGTGAAGCCGCCACTTCGTCACGCGGCTATTTTCCAGTCGGCAATTAACGCATTAATTTGCACGGCCGGTAATCAAGTCGTAATCGATGACGATTACGTTTTCTACCTTACATCGAAGCGTTGTGAATCCTTTTATTTGCACGTACGAGCGCGCACACTATCTCTCAAACTATTCTATTACCTACAAATACACTCTGTTTATCGATAAATAAACCGACAACAAGAGAAGCAGTCGGTGGTTCCAATCGCCGAGCGATATCGTGGCGCGCGTGTAATTCGAGACCGGGTAAACATCGCGGCCTTGAAAATCCACTATACATTCTGCCATCCGGCACAAAAGGTTCCCGTGTGCATTTTTCCGATCGAAGACCGCGACATTTAACGCGGAATTTATCGGGAAAGGGTGCGCCCGCGCGCGGTTTCCAAGCAGAGGATCTTAAAAGAGCGTTTCACAGGCCGGATAAAGACGCGCTTTAAACTCGAGTATATACGCGAATACGAGCTGCACGTAATTCGATCCCTTTCCTCCCGCTCCCCGAGTAGTCTTGCGGCCTTGAACGACCGCCGACCACGCTGTCCACCTGCCACCACTATCCGCCGGGATGCACCGTCCTGGAGTGCCGACTGGAGGCCAATCGACCGGTGGCCCGGGTCGTCCAAGTGCCCGCCGACACCGCAGCGACCGCTCGGAATTCGTGTTTACTGGCGAGGACGAGATCATCGGCCGATCGGGTCTCGAGGTACCAAACCGCGCGTGACACGTCGTTGCGTAAAACATCTTTGTGGACCGACCACAACGCAGATAATTAAATTCCGAAAATTTTTCGTTCGAGAAAATCGAGAAGACTATATTACATGATGTCTGAAAAATTTTAACAGCCGAAATGTGAAGATAGACTAGGTCAATCTGTGAACAGAAAAGTTATTCGCCATTTTGCAATATTTGTTGAGTTATTAAACAATTACTTTGCAAAAGAACGAACAACTTTTCTGTTCAGATATTGTCCCAATCTCCCTTCACACCTCGGCTGTCAAAATTTTTCAGACACTCTGTATAGTAACTGTACACGGAAAAAAAAGATTTGCTAGAATAGCAAGAAATTAGTTACTATATGGCCAGCAAGAAAACATTTTGTTGATGAAACAAAAAATTTCGTAGGGTCAACCATTTTTTCTTGCTGACCGTACAATAGCAAAACTTTTTTTTTCCGTGTACAAAGCGATAATATGAATTGAATTCTTTTTTTGATTTCGATTTCGTTTAATCTTTAGGAAGACATCGCGAAGTAAAGCCAGAAAGGACAGCTCGACCGCCGACGAATACGCGTTGCTTCCGACGTTTCACGTTCTAAAATCTCAGGATTCGAAATGTTCGCTGGCTGGTAAAGCGTCGGTAGAAACAGTGATTCTGGATGTAACGGGCGACAAACAATCCGACACCCCGATCTCGAAAATAATACACTGTCCGTCGACGCGTCCCGTTTCGGAAGTATGCGTGACGCGAGATCGAGCCGACGATCAGCGACGTCCCGCTTCGGAGCGGACGCTGCGAGTTAAGGTCGCGCGAGCGAATCCCGCCAAGTCGGACAAAGCATCCGTGTGCCAAAGGTCAGCAAGAGCCGTCGGACGTGCTCGCTTAATTCCCGAGGAGAAGGTTTGTGGCGACACGCCGCCGCCGCAGGAGCTGTTGGCTCGATGCAAAAACATTCCCGCCTATCAGTTCGAGAGATACGAGGCTCGTCGCTCGAAAAGAGACGGTCTTCAGGACGAGTACGTTCATCCGCTGTTGCGGAGCGTGTTGGAGAAAGATGAGAGTACCACGAACGTTTGCATTAAAATTCAACAGGATACGCCGTGTTAACGTGAAACAGAGACAGCTAACGATATTTGAGACACCGCCATCACACACCAATCTTATTCTGACGTGACGTATTAAGATAATTCGTTTTTTTTGTTTTTCGTCTTTCGATACGTGGCTTCATTGGTGGTCAAATGTGAACGTGCGTTCGACGTCGCGTAAAAAAAAAAAAAAAAAAAACCATTGATATGCGTTTCACGTAAATTTCCGCGCACCGAGTTCGAATGCGCATCTTCTTTGTGATTCCGCGCATGCGGCGAGTTACGGCACTAACAGAAGAGAAACAAACAAAACGTCGGGGAGCCAGCCGGAAGTCATCGCATGTAGATGCCCGTCGTTCGGAACGGTCGCGAGGCGGCTTTATTTCCGGAACGTCGAACATAATACGCCGAAATACGCCGTGTGGCACGCCCGCTCGGTAACAGAATCTAAACTTAGAGCGAAACGCGCACCGTTCTGCATTTCCAGCCGATTGCCAGATTTCGTCAGCGCATATGCGCTCTCTTACCTCGGTGTAAAACGCACCCTTTGTAAAATCCGGACGTGAAAACTCTCCGTGTTGGAGAAATTAATTGCATTTAAAATAGTATTTTCCAGTCTCTCTCGAGAATGATTATAAAAATATGTGCGGAAATTAAAGTTTTCCTGTTGTACAATAAAGAAAAAATAATAAATGTGATTTTTTTTTTACTACCGCTGAGTCTTTGATGTTTACAAAAGAGTCTTCGAAAATTTAATGACCAACGTGTTCTTTTCTGCTTCTTCCCATTCAAGAGATGCGCCATTAGAGAGATCATTTCTGTGCACTTCAACGGGAACCACAAGAGGCAAAGTCGCGTCCCCGGCAAAAACTCTCTCTCTCTCTCTTTCTCTCTTGCCGGGAGCAAAGCTCGCGCGTTTCCCAGAAGCGCGCTTTATTCCGAGCTTAAAAGCGTGAAGCACGAGCAACGGGAGACGACGGGAGAATTTTACACGGGGAAACGCTCGCGTGAATTAAAATACGGACGACGCACGTGCGAAGGCGCCGGAGAACGTTCGGCGAGAAGGGGACAGGAAATTTATAACGGAGCGCGCGCTCGTCCGATCCGCGGTCGTGAGCGCGACTTCCGTTACTTCCGAAAGCGAGCGAGCATTTGGCATCGAACATAATTACATCGCGCGACGCGACAGATCCTGAATAAAAGAAAAGGCAGCGAGAGAGGCGCGCCCCGCGCGTCCTGAGTAGCCGCGTCGCGTCGGTGCGTTTCCCTTTATCTATCGCGCTCGGGAGATAGAAATTCCGAGCTACTTCTGGAATGCACTTCCACCGCCGACGTCTACAAATAAATTTACAGATACCTGAAACGCGTGTACACATCCACCAATCCCTCTCGGAATTCCACAAAGTCGGTGAAGTAACGCGATATTGAAATGAAAGGCTGCTTTTGAAACGTCGAAAAAAGAGTTAGTCGTGTTGTAGTTTTGAAAGAATTCTCGCGCGTATAGCTTCGATTATTTGAAAACGCGTCTAAATATTGATTCTCCTCGTTTTTTTGGGGGGCAATAAAAGTTTTCACTTTTCGATCGTTTTTTGTTTCTATCTCGCGAACTCCGGATACGAATCTTGTGCTTCGTCATTATTTTCCATTTTCGCTCGAGAGAGACGAGAGTGATTTAATGCAGTTAACGGTAGAACAGTGTCAGTAGTTAACTGCGTTAAGTCGTGTACCCGGCTCGGGATACATAAACTTGGGTCTGTGCGATCGAGCGCCCAGGTGCGCGGCCGAGTGAAACTTTTTGTTAACACTTCCAGGATATCGCTCGAAGTTACGGGATATGTCTTCCCGAGGCGCTTGTATCTCCAACATCGCCGGCGGGCGATATTAATTCGCTACCTCACAGTTTTCAGACGCGCATTGACGTGTAGCGATTGCGCCGTAATTTATGCGCGATAATTATGACGAGCGGGGCAGGTCGCTTTTTATCAGAGAGCACACGTGAAAGTAACGGCGCCACCCGATATACATGTAGTTTTTGCTCCTTGATGTTAATTAGAAGATAAATTACAGCCTAATATATTTTTTGTTATTTAATTCTTCTCCCGGTTGTAAATTTGTATAAATTTTGCGTCGCCAAACAAACATTTCTGTGAAACGCGTCGTTTTCTCGAAGAAAAAAAAAATAAAAGGATGAGTTTGCGTCGAAGGTATCGGAATTCAAAATGAAGAGAGAAATCCTTTGGCAAAGGCGCATGGGACGCGGAGGCGGAATATCTCGCGTGAGCGCGCCGAGCACGGGAATATTCTCGGTAACAAGAAACCCATAAGAAAAACAACGCGAGACGGTTTGTTTTCGGAGTTGAACGTAAGCCGCGCGAAATGCGAAATGTCTATAATATATATCGCGCGAGCCGAAACGAAAGCAAAGAAAAAGATCGATATTTCTTATTTTTCAAATTATCACAATTCATGAATTTTATTCTGCGTACGACACGCGCTAATGTAACGATCTTTTTCCGCTGAAAGGGAACCCGAGATGTTTCGCTACATCCCTGCGACAGTGATACGGAGAACTAAGTACGCGAAAGAGAGAGAGAGAGAGAGAGAGAGAGAGAGAGAGAGAAAGAGAGAGAAAATGAAGGAAGACAACTTCGAGGATGCAACGAAAGACATAGAGTAGTACGTGACTATGCAACCGCAGAGGAGATGATGCTCGGTGGTTCTAGCGAGCGCAACGAGAGATGCGACGCGATGGCAATCTGTCGTCGCCTCGGCTGCAAAGAAAACGCAAACTGATAAGCGGAAAAGTCTCGCGCGCGTTGCAACTTGTCGTAACAAATTGAAAGGAGAATGTTAATTCGCGCGAGTGTGGACAAAAAAATTTGTATTGGCAACGATCATTCAGCCGTACATGATTCCTGTTATATTACACAACACACACACACACACATACACTCTCTCTCTCTTTCTCCACACATTGCGCGCCATGTTCATGACATTGCAGAATCTTCGTGGCGGAGACTTTGATACCGGTCTCCTCTATACGTTTCGTAGTCAATTTCCTATTCCGCCGTCAATCATTTGTGATGAAACAAATAAGCATTAAGAGACGTTCTTCTTACGCGGGGTCTTAATCAGGCGTATGGCGCCTCAGAAGTGGGTGGAAAAAAAACAAATTTACGTACCTTCATTATTGTATACTTTTAATCTCCCGAGAAAGCTGTTACTCATACACTTACAAGTACCTACCTAGGATTATTCATGGGAACCGAGTGTTCCGCGGAAGTGCAACAACTGTGAACTCGCAAGTTAACCGCAAGTGGAGAGATTCTTGTAAAACCGTCGCGTCTACCGCGACGACCACTTAACGCGAAACGGGAGATTTTCTAAACGCGTTTAGACGATGTAATGATTGCGGCGTTGAATAAATGCGTCACTTTGATGATAGATGAGAACGACCGAACGACGCGAGACGTGGGAAAGAAACGAGAGAAGCTTAGGAGACAAATTAGAAAGGAAGCTTCATCAGTCACCAAGTGACGTATTGACACGATGGAAAACAAACGCGAGACAACTTAAAAAAATCAAATCAAAAGTTGATTTAATTAATTTTCTTAGTAAATATTCTCTTCAAATGTACAATTGAAACTTCGTTCTTGTTCGTGTGTTCGCGCAAGATCTTCGTGTGTGCGAGATCTCGGAAAATCTACGCGGCAAACTGGCGGTTAACGATTCTGAGACTCCGATTCTCGCGAGGATAATTATAACGGCCGACTTAGCGAGCGAAATACGCCAATCATAGTCGCGAAGAGAGAAGGAAAGAGAGAGAGAGAAAACACATCGTAACAGTTTCCCGTAACATTTTCGCAATTAGACGCGATCAAATCACAGCGAATTTGCGCGCGGATATCAATGATACTGGGACCACCGAAGTGGACTCGGTCAGCGCTCGCGAAGCGCTTAATTTCCAGCGCGGGGGTGCACGCGCTTAATGAATAGCGGGAATCCCTTCGGTATCTTGAGCCGGCCGGTTTGCGGGAAGCAATTTCCGCGAGAGTCACGCAATTCCGAACGTCTTGAGCGGGCAATGGATAAATCGCGCGGATACAGCGCGATGGAAAGGGCGTTTTGCGAACGAAGGAAGCTGCACCGGAGCGAGGCTTTAAGTGGAAATTGATTTGCTTGCGCGCGGGCGCGCACACGAACGCGCTCCAACGTGAAGGAATATACGGTATCAACCTCGCACGGTCAATGATCCGACGAATGAACGCCCATATACGACAGTGATCTTTACCGCCTGCCTTGTAGGGGGTGTGCGACCGTTAAATGCTCACATACGACGCGCGCGCGCGCGTCGAGAGCGCGATGTGAAAGACCGAACGTACGTCACACAGCCGCATATAATTGAACGCGGTAATTATTGATGATAATTAACGACGCGGTGCCTTGTGTGCGATGCCAATCAAGTTATTATGCGCGCGGAAGAAAAGAATGTCGCTCCTCGTTAAGAATAAAAAAATTTCTCCGTTCTGATCAGATTTTAAAATTGTCAAATTGCGTCACGATACAAATAATTGTTTACATGTTACGATAAACATATTTATTTTGTGTGTGTCGTATTAAAGTTTCATGTAATATGTGTGAAAAGTTTTGAATAATTTGGAAAAATTTTGTAAATCGTCCAAATGTTTGTACAAGATCATCAGCGTCTACATCGCTGATGATATTTGTTGTTTAATTATAATTTTATAATAACAATTCTTCGTATATCAAACTTTCCCGCTAGAGAAGGTCTCTGTCTTACCCACCACAATCTCGGTTCAGCGTTTCCAGAACGAGCCGCGTCTGACGCCACGTGCCAGTTCGCAGGTTCTTGTACCGATTCTAATGTCGATAAAGCCGCACACTACACTACTAAGGCCTCTTTAGTGACTCATCCAACGCTTGATAATAACACTTCTCTGTCGGCATTTCGACCATGTATCTACGAACTGCCAGGTCTATTTCTACCATAGAGCTTATACTCATGGAGAGGCCATGGGAGCGCAAGGAGGATCGACAAAGAGAGATATATTTTTCTGTTTCAATTGTGGGCACTTCTTATAGAAGAGAATAACAGAGAACACGGAGTGGGGGAGCCACAGTTGAGACAAAATATATCTATCTCTCTGTTGCTCTTCGCGCGGACCTCTCTATGGTTAGCATATAGGCATGGCCTCTCCATTAGTATAAGCTCTATGATTTCTACCTTTCTTATCCTCACAATGCTCGCGTATTAACAATTGACATATTATAATACATATAATACATATTATAGGTTTTACTTTTAGAAACAAGAGCCCGAGAAAACTCTCAGCAATGTTGTTTTCCTCTTTGCCCGAGTTGTTGCGACGTGGTTTTTTATTTTAATAAAACACAGACGTTAAGGTCGTTCTGCAAATCGGCCAATCGACCAACGTGATTAATCAATTCCGCAAGACCTGCGACTCGCGTCTATCTCATGTGGAACGACCTTTTTATGAATCTTCTTTCGCGGCAAATTGAACATATTTCATCGTGTAATGTCTATTGACGTGTAATAGTACAGTTATACACGTTTTTTGGAACAAGAGCCCGAGAAAGTCGCCGTTATGACAAACGTCGTCGTCGTTTCACGACAAAC